TTTCTGCATTATCCTATATTTTCTGCTTTGAAATGCTGTCAAAATGAATTGAAAAAGAAAAAATAGAGAAAAAAATAGAGCAGATATATGCCGACGGCATAGATATCCCAGGACAACCCAGTGGCTGCCACGTGGCAGGGCTATGCCGACGGGTTGGCCGTCGGCATAGCCCTGCCGCCGTGAGCTCCGAGGGGCTGCCACGTGGCAGGGGTATGCCGACGGCCAAGCCATCGGCATAGATCAAATCTATGCCAACGGCTTGGCCGTCGGCATACCCCTTGATCTATGTCGATGGCTTAGCCATCGGCATACCCCCTGCCACGTGGCAGCCCCTGGCTCGTCAGCGTGTTTGCGGCGCCCTCCGTTGCTGTCGCGTGAAAATCAGTGCCGACGACGATTCTATGCCGACGGCCATACGGAAGCCGTCGGCATAGTACCCTATGCCGACGGTCTGACAAGACTACGCTGACATAATCTATCCTGACGGGGCTATGCCGACGGCAGCCGTCGGCATAGACCTAAGCCGACGGCCCGTGGCCGTCGGCATAGAGTGCGAGTCCGGTAATGGTTTGGCCAGTGCAATCTTCCAAAGTTGGGCCGAAAGCAAAGCAAATTACATGTACGGCCCCTCAGAGACAGATATTTCTAAAAGGACGACCATAGAAAAAAGACTAGCAAACGTGTATATATCTATGCCAACAGAAAAATAAAGCAAGAAGAAAAAAACAAGGACCATGTACTCACGAGGTCATGTTTCAAATACTGCTAGGTCTAATAACAGTGATTTCAATGGTGATTGTGAAGAAGTAGAGGGTATAATTAGAGGCTTAGCAGTTTTTTGGTTGTAGAAGTATTAGCAAAGCTGGCTGTGGCGGTTCTGCTTTATATATAAACCTTTCCTCAAAATGTCAGGCCTTTAATTTTTAGAGTTTTGGTTGTGAATGAGGAGTTTTATGAAGTGACTCAGCATGATTGTGGTTTTTCTTATATTAGAGTTTTGGTTAAATTCAGACAAACTAGTTGGATTTGGAATCATTACCATTTGTGGTGTTAGGTAGACTAGAGAAAAGGAGGTGTTTTTTTATTGAAACAATACATGTACTATTAAATTATAATTCACATCATTGCAGATATTTCTTACCAAGCTTAATTTACTTGTTGGATTCGATAAGTCACAAGGCTTCTAGGGAAGAAGGCTATATCTACATCCGAAACCAAATCGAAGGTAATCAACAATTGCTAATGCATAAGATAGTTTTGTTCATTTCAAGAACTTCGATCTATGCAACATTTACCCTATTGGCTTAATTTGATATAAGACATTGCCAATTTCATCTGGCCAAAAAATACCACCGCAACGAAGAAATAACTTAAAAAATGCCAACATTGTACAATCATATTCATTGCTCCTCTCAACAGGGTCGGTACCTTATATAACACTAGCTACAACATGTAACCAAAGCATAGTAAACATTCTAACATTGTCGGCTGAAATACAAATTGCAACTGATTTATGGATAAATTAATGAAAATCACAAGCAAATTAGAGCTTTCGCTAACTAATATTGAACCCTCTATACAAGCAAAGCCTCGATTTCTGACAACGAACTCCATTGAGATAACGCCACTCACCACATCTCTGCAACCCCTTCCTATATTCAAGGCTCATAAAATGTTGAATATCGTATAAGGCTTTTCTTCATACTATTGGTTGAGAAGCATTGCCAAAATCAACTAAGAAGTAACAAATCTAATCCTCTTAAACCAAATTATTAAACATGTATGTTTATTATTGGTAGGCTTCTTGAGCAATAATTTAAAAAGTGTCATTGACACATTTCTAATATGTATTACAACATGAAAAGTAAAATGTAATGTAGAGAAATATGCATATAAAAATAATGTAGAGAAATATGCATTTCGTGAGGTTTGCTTAAGGCTTTTGATTTCTCATTAATTGTGAAGTTCTAGCCTCGACCTAGGTCGTCTTTTTTTTGCGAGAAAACTTTCAATCTATTCATCTTCAATAATAGTAGTACGACGAACAATAGTAACAAAAAATTACATCCAAATTCGTAGACCACCTAGCGACGGCTACAAGCACTGAAGCGAGCCGAAGGAGCGCCGCTGTCATCGCCCCTCCCTCATCAGAGCCGGGCAAACCTTGTTGTAGTAGACAGTCGGGACTCGGGAAGTCATCGTGCTAAGGCCCCATAGAACCAACGCACCCGAATATCAACCGCCGCGGATGAAGAGTGTAGATCAAAAGGATACAATCTGAAGACACAAGAAGATAGACGCACAACAAACAGATGCGAGCAAATCCACCAAAGACAGATCCACCGGAGACACACATCAATACGCCCACCGACAATGCTAGACACATCAACGGAACATGGACTAGGCGGGGAGACCTTTATTCCATCTTCAGGAAGCCGCCGCCGTCTCGCCTTCCTGAGCAGGACACAAACCCTAACAAAACTCGAAAAAAATCTAAAAATGGAGCCCTCCCGCCGGCAAGGGCCGGGATCCACTCCGCCCCCATGGCCCTAAGGCCACCAGAGACGGGGTGGACCAGCGCCGGTGCCGGCGGGAGGCAGAGAAACCCTAGCTTATGTGTTAGATGAATTCTATTGTATATGTATATGATCATGTCTATTATATTATCTTTGAATATTTTGCTCGAGAGCTCTAAAGTGTACCATCTACAAATATCTCAACAAAGCTTTTTAGAGTGGATGAATCATCTAGCTTACATGTAAATGAAAACGATGTGAATGACTGAAACGTATGCTCATATTACATATGTAAAGAGAGGACGAGTTGGGTGGGGATACTTCTCGTTCAAGCCATCCACATCATCAATATGAAATAGTTGTGGAAAAACATAGAGACTAGTAGTTATATTAAATTCCTTTCTATATCGTTGAATAGGGCTCCTCCTCCACCTCCTCCTCCTCCTCCAAGAAAGAAAGTTAGGGTTTGTGCCTCTCGCCGGCGCCGGCGCAGGTCCGCCTTGTCTCCGGTGGCCCTAAGGCCATGGAGGCGCGGTGGATCCTGGCAAGGGCCGGCGGGAGGGCTCCGTTTTTAGTCGTTTTTTTCAATCTTGTTAGGGTTTGTGTCCTACTCAGGAAGGCGAGACGGCGGTGGCTCCATGAAGATGGAATAAAGGTCTCCCCGCCTAGCCCCCGTTCCGGCGGTGCGTCTAGCATCGTTGGTGGGCGTGTGGAGGTGTGTCTCCGGCAGATCTATCTTTGGTAGATTTGTTCGGATCTCGTCGTTGTTCGTCTACGTTCGTGTGTCTTCGGTTTGGATCCTTCCGATCTACGTTATTTTTCATCGGCGGCGGTTGCTGTTTTGGGGTGCTGGTCCTATGGGGCCTTAGCACGACGACTTCCCGACTGTCTACTACAACAAGTTGTGCCCGGCTCCGGCGATGGAGGGGCGATGACGACGGCGCGCCTTCGGCTCGCTTCGGTGCTTGTAGTCGTCGCTAGGTGGTCTACGATTCTGGACGTAATTTTTATTTCTGGTATTCGTTGTACTGCCATGATTGAAGATGAATAGATTGAAAGTTTTTCCGCAAAAATATATTAAATTCCTTTCTAATTATTATTTTGAGAAATTGGCAGGAGTGTTGTCTTTCAATTAGAAGAAGAGAATTTTGTTACAAGGTCCATTACTTTCTAATAATGCACACAGTCAAATAGCGTGCATGCACATGAAAAATATCTCTAAAATATTGGACACGAATACAATTTTTTAAGAAGCACTATTACAAAATTAATGTGCAATACTAGTGAAATAATCCGGCACGAGCTATGGTATTAGTGAATCAATAATGAATGAGCGCCAATACAAAAGAGCTCACATATACAATGGTGTACATGCTTATGAAAGCATTTGTTTTATTTTTCTTAAATGGCAAACAAATGGTATGCCAAGAACCAATCATCATTTTGATCTATTTATTTATGGGGATTTACTCAATTTATTGAGGTATGAATTAAAAGTGTGTTACTGACACCATTTCGATGATAAACCATGTTTTATCTGTCGACGTACATGAAACATCAATTTTACTAGAAATTGGACATACTAGAATGTTTCAGAGGGAGGAGAAACATGTTGGAGAAGTGGGTCATCCGACAGAGGCCCAGGGGCCTAGGCGGCATAACTGGGCTACTGACTTGACTTCATAGCCTGCCCGCGTAAGGAGCCACCGATTCCACCTTGTAGGAGAGTCCTTCATCATTCTGAATACCTAGCAGGCTAGCACACCTCCAATGTTCGGAGCAAATTAGATCACTATTATTCGTCTCCTTCCATTTCATGAACCATCACATCATCACCATTTCCTATGTTGTTTCTGATGTTTCTCCAATATATGGGTGAGTAGTTTTCTATATGCACATGGGGATGGCTGAAATTTTTGATAATTGTATAATCGTCTCATGACGCCGCTTTCCTCATTTTATTTATCCTAGTTCAATCATTGTTCTTCATGACTCGAAGTCTCGAACAAACGAATGATCAGAAACTTTGACGTAGCATCAGTCATTGTGGTTTAGAGCTTCGGGTATCCAAGGCAGGTATCCATGATCCATACGGGGTACTGCAATACCTCCAGGCAAAAATTGCTACAATAAGTCTCATGTAAGCCATTCCTTCATTAAGAAGTGAGAACTAGGTGGGATTGCCATCGCCTCCGATTCTAAGGCGAGACTGAGATCTGTAGTCTTGCAGATGAACCCATGTAACTCTCGGTACATGGCAAAGACGAAATAGTTGACTAACAGTACTCCAGCCTGCTGTAAGGAAAAACCAAAGGAATAGGCCAGAACCAAAAATATCCATTTCCTAACTAAACCAGAGATTACCAGCCAAATTATGCACCAAAATACTTTCCAAACACCACCACCAAAAATTTCTTTTCTGGAAGGAACACCACCAAAAGTATCATTCTTCCTGCCATCACCCTCCGAGAGCGCTGTCATTCTTCACCTTCGCCACTCCAATTCGGGCGAGGACTGCGGCCTATTGTATGGCTGCGACTCCTCGGGCTTGATAGAATTTGTAAACGTGCTCCAGCCCATGATGTGCGGTATGATGTACTGCAAATATAACAATGTGTTCAGACATTATGAAGAACAGGTTTGGTTTTTTGCATTTACCTAAAAAGGGCAACCTGTCTACCGAAATGTTACTATTGGTCCCACGCTTCACAGATTATATACCACAAAATGGTGGGCTAAAGGAAGAAATACAGCAAGCATCAACACACGTTAGATCTAGTTGTTACCAGAACACATCTACTGCCAGTTTTGTTACATGCTGACATGCTCCTCCATAAACAATCGTGGCAGAAAATAGGCCATGTCATATGTTAGGACACGGTGTGATTTCTGATGGAAGTAGAACCAAGTGGTGTTCAAACTATAATTCGTGCAGTTAGCTCAAACTACCTCAATGATCTACAACTGAATAATGGTAAAGAAAAAGCTCTAGCAGAATAATGATGCGTACATTGAAAGTCGATACAATGACCGCATATTCTCCTTTGGTTATAGGGATGTAAATGTTCTCATCAACATTCAAAAGACGGTTTTGAACACCTACAAGGAAAAAGATGATCAGATCAATTTCGGAACATAGATTCAGAAGCAAGTAGAATTTGTAGCACAGCAATGGCGACTACATACTGAGGTTGAAAAAGCGACCGTTGCCATCTGGTGTTGGCTCAACCTTTAGAACCTTGCGCACTTTACCTTCATCGCTGTTTGTATAGAACAATAGTAAGTATTAAGGCTATTTTATTCACAATTCAAGAAGTAAAATACACAGGTATATTTCAAAATAAAATACATAAACAAATAACATAAGAATATGAAATTTATTGAAGCCCTGGTAAGTTATGCTACAGATAATTAATTTTGGGAAAACTTTATTACAAACATTGAATTAAAAGAGCATTGTATTAACTAGCAACCTTTTTTGGCTTGACAGACATGTTAACACAATGGTATCTTGAACAAAGTCTCTCTTTTGGCAATTAATAATCTTGATCAAAAGAAGAAAATAAAGTGTCTTCTCATATTGCCATCCTATTTCAACTATATGGTAGGCCAAGATACTAAGCATCAGGTGCACTTGTAAAGTTCCAAGACTATTTTACTTCAATTCAAAATACACAGAAATGGAGAAATTTGATTGCTGATATTTAAGTCTTTCTAAATAATTGGATTGGCAATATAGGGCAATAATCAGGCTGAGGATGCCCATAGCAATAACAAAAGGTTGCATTTAAGATAATGATCCACACATGTTTTATTCACACGCTTCTGTAGAAGGAGCTTATAGTTAGATATAGCACACAAGACTAACCTCCTCCCCTTGAAAGGGTCATGAAAGAACTCGCACGAATCTGTTAGACCAAGAGTAAGCAAGGTTCCCATCTCCCAGACAGATAATGAGAACACCTGCACCACAACCAAATAAGTTCATGTAAAGAACAGAATATAGATTTGCTTATCTATACTACTCCCTTTGTAAAGAAATATAAGATCGTTTAGATCACTAATTTAGTAATCTCAACGATCTTATATTTCTTTAGAGGGAGTACTATATAGTGTAGCAGTGTTGGATTGCACCTAGAGCATCAATCCTAGCGACTGCTCTCCTAAATCGAACAACTGAGATTAGAGGGATTCGATATGAACAGTAGCTCGCAGCTGAATCTACTAGGTTCTGGAACCATCGCATCATACCTCCCAGAAAAGAACTATGCCCCCCTCTGCCATGTTGCAATTGTCAGGTTGTGATGAATAGAAGAAAGTGTAGGCTGTGAGCCGATGCCAGAGATGGTCCGGGAGGAGAAACTAAAGTTGTACTCCCTCTGAATCAAAATATAAGACGTTTTTAGACACAATCATAGTGTCAAAAAGCGTCTTATATTTTGATACGGAGGGAGTAGTAAACAATTTGTGGGTTCCACCACATACATCCTTTTTTTTTGAAAATTTCTTGGTGACACCGGGTAGTGGTTGTATTGTGCCAATTAGTAAATTTATAAAGTTCATTTTGCGTACATCAACAATATAAATTTTTGCTTGAAATTCATTTTTCAAAGTAATGTATGTCTTTTTTTCCTTTTGTCGGAACCACACCATACTGTCAAGACGTGCATACACACTAGGTTTTGGTAACTGCAAACATAAAGCATCTGAACTTACGGAAGATCTTACAAAAGAAACCAAACAAACAAATAGAGGCTATAATATATGCTCCTAATTTCGAAATACTAACTTACAAACCAAGAAACTATCCAGTCAGGAGTCAGCTCGAAATGGCATGAATAGGCTAACAGCTTCCAACATGCCAACATTTGCATCTTTGTGTTGAAAAAAATGTGAATCTCAACACCTTTCTCTAACTAGTTTATCTTGGAAGTTTCTAAATTGGCGCAGGAATGAACGAGCATTTCAACAGAAAATTGGACAAGATAGAGCAAAATCCAGTTTCACCTGCTTGCGAGTCCAATCATACTGCCGGGGGCCCACGGCAGGGGCGAACTGGAGCAGCACGAACCCCTCCTTGGCCACCTTGTACGCCCCAGACTGCAAATTTCGAAGCAAACACCCATCAACACTGAACAAAGATAACAAAGCAGGGCAGCACACGACGCCCAATGGCGCACCACACTCTACCTACTTCGAGCGGCACGAACTGCGGCGGCCTGGGGTCGAAGGCCAGCGCGGCCTTGCCCTTGTAGATGCTGTAGCTGGCGAACACCCTCCCGGCCTGCCCCCCAGGCACCGGCGGATCCCTCTCCAGCGGCGGCTGCCCGTACGCGTCGCGCTGCGACGGCGGGGCCCGGGGGTCGAAGTAGTCGGAGTGGCGCGCGGGGACGACGGAGCAGGCGGAGGAGGGCGGCGCCCTGGTGGAGAGGGGCTGGGCCAGGGCGAGGGAGTGGGAGTGGGGGGCCCGAGCGTGGCGCGGGAGGAGGGAGAGGGGCTGCGGCGAGGGGAGCGAGACGGAGAGCGGCGGCGGCATTTCGCCGAACGGGTTGGGGACGGGCGCGTGGGTGGGTGTGGACGGCCGAGCCGAGACGGGGCTGTTTCGTCCGGGAGGGGTTTATCCTGTGGCGTGGTTTGGGCGGCCAGGCCCGCCGGTGACATCCGGACCGTTATGTTATCGTCTTTGGAGCCATGGAGATCCACCTCTCCATGGGGGAGCTCCTATACAGCGCTGCAGGCGCCCGTTAACGATCCGGCGCCTGCAGCGCTGCTAGCATGGGCCGGCCCACTAGCGTGCTGCCCTCAGTTTTTTTAAATTTTATTTGTTGGGAAAATAAAAATATGAAATCAAGAAAAGTTTACAGATTTAAAGAAAAAAGGTTTATCCATTTTGAAAAAATACGTTCATACTCCCTCCGTCCGGAAATACTTGTCATCAAAATGAATAAAAGGAAATGTATCTAGATGTATTTTAGTTCTAGATACATCCCTTTTTGTCCATTTTGATGACAAGTATTTTCGGACGGAGGGAGTATCTTTTAAAAAGGTTCATCAGCTATGAAAAAAGTTCATCAATTTGCAAAAAAGTTCATTCAAATTGAAAAAAATCATCCAATTTAGCAAAAGATCATTAAATTTGAAAAAAGTTCATAGAAATTGAAAAAAAAATCATATATTTTTAGAAAAAGGTCATGGAACTGAAACAAAAGTTCATAAATAAAAAAATCATCCATTTTCAAGACAAATGTTCATGAAATTTCGAAAAAGTTCATCAATATTAAAAAAAGTTCATCAATCTGATAGAAAAAACTTTTGAAATTTTTTAAAAGTTCATCAATATTCAAAAAGTTCACATTTTTTTTAAATCGCCAACCGGCGCCTAGATGGTCGGGCCCATTTACGGACGACAAAGGCGCCAGTGAACAAAATGCACGTTAACTGACGCCTGCGGCGCCAAATAGGAAATGTCTGATCCGCTTGCCAGACAAACCATACAAATATACCTGGCCATAAGTTGGGCTGGGCCGGGCCTAATAAAGCCCGTGACAGAATACCTAGGCCCGGGCATGGCCCGGCTCATCAATGGAAAATCCCATCGGGCCTTGGGCCGAGCCTCTTCCCTAAAATGCAAATATGTCAGGCCCAAGCCCGACCAGGCCTTCAGGCTCAAAACTTAGGCCCAGGCCCGGCCCGTGGGCAAGGCCGGGTCGGCTTGGCTAGGCCGGGTTTCCCGGGAAAGTATCAAGTACTCCCATCCTTGGGGTACTCCCGGTGCTCCAAGTTTAAAAAAATCATTCATGGATGTTTCAAAAAATTCCGGAAAAAACGTAAATGTTCGCAGGGAATGTAACTACAACCCCTAAAAATTTCAGGTCCAAACTCGAAATGCACATTAAGAAACAAAAATGTGAAATCAAGCAAGGATAGTGTAAAAAAAAGACAAAATCAACATTGACACTATTCACATCTGGATTTCACATTTTTGTTTCTCAATGTACATTTCGAGTTTGGACCTGAAATTTCTATGGATTGTAGTAACATTCCTTGCGAACATTCATTTTTTTTGAATTTTTGGAAACATTTAAGATTTGCTTTTGAACTTGGAGCACCGGGAGTACCGCAAGGATGGGAGTACCAGATATTTTTTTCCCATGGCCAGGTATATCCTACAACATGCAGTTCTTTTCGTAGCTTAAAAAGTAAGTCGTCTCATTTCAAAAAAAAAAATTATAAGTTCTCTCTTATGCTTTAGGGCTTCTAAACTAGTTATGGATTAATTGGTTTAGAAGTCCCAGCCGACTTAGAGTATGGCTTATTTTTTAAGTTGAAAAGAGGCAGCTTATTTTTCAAGCCGTTCAAATGAGTTGACTCTACATTCTTTCTAAACTCTGGCAACATGAACATTGAATTAACACATTGATTCATGAAAAGCAATATCTTGATTACTTGTGTGTTTTGATGTTACTTGCTTTAGTATGCACTGTAGACAATTGCTTTGCATCGCTATTATTTTGTGTAAAACTTTTATGAGCTCAATGAGATAACCTTATTCATGTTAAGATAGCATCCCCTCCTCTTATTCCCTGCATTCTTATTTTTATAAACACATGTTATTGTGTTCGACATGTGCTCTCTGTTAACCTCGCTATTTTCCTGCAAATTAGTTTGGCATGTACGTATTTCATTTATTGATCTTGCAGATTCTTGCATCGGAGGCTCTCCTTGTTCATGCTCATTTTCTTCACTGCTCAAAAAGTTGAGTCCATAGATTCTTGATATCTGGCCTCAGCAAAGGCCTTCTTTTATTGGCTTGCATAAGGGTCAACACTAAAAAACTCAAAGCAATGGTGAAGAATCGATTCCATATCCGGTCAGACCTTTTTAGGTGAGGTACTATTTATAGTCTTTTGGATATTTGATGTGCTTGTGACTAGCACCTTAATTGTATCCGCAGTTAGTACGAATTCCCAAAGCTCCCTACTAGCATTGCAGTTAGCATTATTATCGCAGGATGGTATTAAACGTAGGGCATATACTTACACTGAAAAACTAAGTGTCCAAATCCACAATGATTGCAAGTTTCATGATACAAGTAAAATAAAGAGGATGTAAATTCTAGCACCCATTCTAGCATTCCTTCCGTCTTCGCATCAATGGGGACCATGTGTTCTTCATGGTGTACATCCTTTTATGCATGTTTTTGCGAGTCCTGCGAAAGGCTTATTTCTCGAAGGTGGTTACAATTCGTTCTCACCTGTTGATGACTAATGCATTATCACATAAAATATCTAGGCAAAAGTAGTTAATAGGATGCACTACATTATAGATCCTACAAAGTAGGATGCATTCTACACTCATGTTTCTTATTCAACTTAGAACCTCACGAGCACCTTCAAGAAGTATTTATTGTACGACCTGCATTCTAGCATTGCACTCATCACATATTGATAATATCGGACCGATATCATACTCACATTGATAATTCAAATGCTCTTCGGATTCATAGTCTTCACATGATAATGGGTATTAAGTGCATGCCCTGGATGACTAATCCTTCACCATATTTAACAATTCTTTTATCTTGTAATCATTGGTGATCAAGTGTGGTAGACTCATGTCTCTCTTCTCCTCCATTGCAACTTTCATCTATTCAAGAATACTCACCCGAAAAACAAGATTATCACTTTTCTATTCATTCTTTTTAAAAAAATTGGATTGCTTACCACATGTGTCATGTGGTACTTTTCTATTCATTCTTGGTTTAAACAAAAAAGGGTAAGATAAATAACAATAAACAAAAAATCTAAATATGATTGGGAAGGTAAGGACCAAGCGTTTGCTTCTCGGCAATGGCATCATAGAAAGCTTGATGCCTTGCAAGTTCACAGGGTTGTGTCAAGCCCAGAATTCACGAGAAGTATTGTAACCTAATTCTATATCAAACTAGGGAGAAAAAGGAAAGAAACCACTAACCTGGCTAGTACGTTGCCACATGTAATATACACACACCGCTACGCTCGCATGCAAATCGTAGTTTGGAAATATTCTAGAAAAACGAGAAATAATAAAGTTAACTAAGTCAGGAAAAAAAAGGCAAAGTAAATACTAAGGCTAAACCGTAAAGTGACTATGGAGATTTAATGCAATTTTTACTTGAGCAAAGGTGGTGTCTTGGTAATGGATCAGTAGTACACGGTGGCGTTTTTGGTGTTAATATATATACCACTAGTACTATCTGTGTCACTGCCACTTAGTTGGGCACTGCCCCAAGCTGCCGCTTAGCAAGGAAACTCAATTGCCCTCTTCTTGCCGCACACATGCCGCAACAAAGGAAGATATTAAGGTCATAAATATCATATCAAAAGGTATTAGTTTCCGTTGACAACTGTGTTCCCTAGATAAGTCATGCTCCTCTTGAGATACAAAAGGTTGTCGTTTCTAAGGTCTATTGATTCACACAAATACCTATCAACTTCACATGTTGTCTGGAGAGTTGGTTGTCTCCAACTACGTTGGTGGATTAGACATATGCAATCACAAATTTAACCCGAGTGTCCCAAAGACTTAACTTTGACACATGAGCTAAATGGCTTGCTTGGAAAAAGATTTCAAGGTATTCAATCATTGAAGGGATACGTTCTGATTAAACATGAACACACATGCACACGCACATGCATACTTCAATCTTGCTTCATTTTTGACACTTCTTAATAGTATGATTTTTACTATAACTCGATCAGTAATTAAAAATACTGGAAAAAAGCTACTCACTAGTCTTCAACATTGAAATGCCATTTTGAAGAATTCAATGTTCTCACAACATATTTAGGGGTTATCACCACTTACTAAACCAAATCATCTAGGACTTTGACCTATGTATACCTACAAACGCACTAGTATCTCAACTGTTTCATCCAAAACTCACAAAAGGAGAACTAGATACACTTACAACTCCTTTTTAATCAAAGATCCCGAAACCCTTTTCAGAAGAGTTGCTTGGAGATTTGAAGCAACAAAATGAGGCTTTCAATACCACTTTATTGCATTTGAGAAGTAGCACATACGAGAAGGTGATATAATAATCCAGTCAACGATCTTCTTGTAGTTGTGACACCGTGGGCAAACAAAAGTTTGTCGATGCAGAGCATGGCGAGAAGCCATAAATAGCCTAGGTGGCTATCATTGATGTCGTCTGGAATCAACCAAGGTCGCCCGCCCATTGTGCTGGTGCGCACCACGGCGATGACTAGCCCCAAGCTCGCATAATTGCCCGGTGAAAATGCTGCATTGGAGAGCCTCGAGCACACACCGCGCATGGCTTCCAACGCCTCGTCATAGGAGAACTCCATCTGTCCAATGATGGTGAACACCTCTGTGGCCCCTCCCCCTATGAAAAAAATTTAGAATTGAAAAACATTTTTTATAAATTCATGAACATTTTAAAATTTTGATATTTTTTTACAAAATTCACAAAGATTTTAAAAATTAATTTACATTTAATAAAATTAGGAAATTTTTAATTGAAAGCCATATGAAATAAAAAACCAGACGAAAATTTAGAAACAATCAGCTTAAAAAGAGATAAATGGGGAAATCACCAGCGCAAAAAGAAAGGAGACGCCAAATATGTTGTGGCCCAGCTTTGGTTGACAGAGACATGGGCGAGTTTCTTCTTGGCTTCCAATCCACAGCCCATCCCTAACTATTTCCCTCAAAATCTTAAGTTATTAGCACGAATGACACTGAGAGTTGCTCACCTCAAAATTGGTCTGGCTTCAGATCCTTCCGTCCGGATGCGAAGAAATTTTTTCACTTTAGCTATATGTAAATTCCTGAAAATTAATTTTGTCACAGTCAATTGAAAACGGGAATTTTATAATTTTTTAGTATTTTCTGAAAATATCAAACAAAATATTTGGAAATCACGTCTTTTTCCTGAAATTCCAAACATTCTTCAAAATTGTGAACGAAAAAAGAGAGACAACCTTTTGAATTCTGAAGAATATTTGATATTTCAAATCATTTTTTAAAAATATGGAAAAATAAATTTTAACAAAAAGTGGAAATGAAAACGGGAAAGAAGAAAAGGAAACTGGAAAAATAGAAAACAGAAAACCTGAAAATCGGGAGAAAGAAAGTTCCAAACGGAAACGAACGAACTGTGTAAATGGGCCGGCCCAGTCGATTCGATAGTGCGTCTCCCCCCTGTGCGAAACGGCGACAATTTGCCGCAAACTCCGGCAAATAGGGATTTCCGTTGATTTCTGCGGAATCCCTATCCGCCGCATTTTGCGGCAAAATGCCGACCTGCCGCACACCCCTCGACCGGTCGTGGGCCGGCCCGTGTCGGATGCATCCTACAGAGAAAATCGCTAAAAAAGTGAAGAGAGGGAGGATTGGAACCTCAAACCTCACACTTCTAGAGATGCGAGTCTAGCCACTCAACCTTAACAACACTAGTGTTCTATAAGTGCAAAGAGGTCTGGTATTATATGTTCCTTTCTTTCACATTTTTTCGTTTTTCGTTTTCCTGTTTCTTTCTTTCTTTTATTTTTGTTTTAGAAATATCGCAACTTCAAAAAAGATCAATATATTTAAAAAATTTATTCAGCTTTTAATAAAAAATTGATTTTTTTGTTCAGGTTTCAAATAACCATTCTTTGCAAAAAATGTACAAAATTTGTTTGTGTTTCAAAATGTGTTTGGTGTTTCAAAATTTCTTTGTGATTTTCAGAAAATGTTCGTGTTTTCAAATTTTTTCAGATTTTCAAAAAGTGTTGGAATTTCACATTTGTTTCCTTTTTCAAATTTGCTCGTGATTTTCAAAATATGTTCGTGTTTTCTAATTTGTTCAAATTTTCAAAATAGTTTTGGAATTCCACATTTGTTCCCAATTTTCTAAAATTGTTCATATTTTGCAAAAAATTATTCACATTTTCAAAAAATATTCACGTATCAAAATTTAGATAGACATTTTAAGAATGTTCAAGAATTTTATGAATGTTCATACTTTCACGAAATTTTCCATTATTAATTTTTTGTTCACCAATTCAAAAAATGTTCGCTGTTTAAATTTTTGTTCGGAATATCACGAAATGTTTCATTTTTCAAATTTTTGTTCACCAATTCAAAAAATGTTCGCGGTTTCAATTGTTTTTGGAATTTCATAATTTGTTCACAAATTCAAAAAATGTTTGCGGTTACAAATTTCTTTGGAATTTCATAATTTGTTCACACGGTTTCAAATTTGTTTGGAATTTCATAATTTATTCACAAATTCAAAAAATTGTTCACGTTATCACAAAAACAATTTCTGTCTTTTCGATTTTTTTCGTTCACATATTTGAAAAATGTTCTTGTCTCTATTTTTTCATGAATTCAGAAAATGTGCGCACTTTTTTAAAGAGACACATTCAAAGAATCTATACTTTAAAACAAATCAATACAACAAGTAATTTTGTGTTCACTGCAGTAATTGGTTCCTGTTCGCTACAGTGCACAAGTCAGGTCTAGTCTGTTGGCCACGTGTGAGCGGATGCTAGCACTTGGTCGCTAGTTCGAATCCGCCTGACTTTTCTTTTTGCCATTTTTTATCCCACGGTGGAGCTTCATGGGCCGGCCCAGTCGAGCTGCCCCTGTGCGTCTGGCCACCAATTTGACGCAAAGAGCGTCCAATAGGAGCTCTCGATTTCTGCTTCATGATTCCTGCAACTTCTTTTCTGGGCTGGTCTGTGTGGTCTTTTGGGCTGTTTATTTTAATGACCAATATTCGGGTCAGCCAATTCTTTAACGGGCCTAAGCCCATTCTAATGCAACAACCCTTTGCTTTCTCCTTTTGTTTTATCTGTTTTTCTGTTTATATACGTTTTTGCTTTTGTGTTTTTCATTTTCATTGTTAGTTGGTTTTTTTTTATTTTGTAGGTATTTTTGGATGGTATGCGTAAATATATACATACAAATACTATATAATAATATGTGCCAACATTTCACTATTATATGATTATTCTTTGCATAATACGAAAAGTGCAATTTCAGTGCAAAGTTGTGTGCAAGTTTTTTATTTTTTATTTCTTCTTAAATAGAAATACCAATTCCACTAGTTCATTATTACTTACAAAACTTCATTATTTTGATATTGTCTTAGTTTTTTATTACATTTTCATTCTACTTTAAGGGTAATACCATTGCCACTAACTCATTTGTTCTAATTTTTGTAACAAATCCACTTTTATATGCTTATTGTTGCAAAAAATTTAAAAGTGCACTTTCTATGTATATTTTGTGTAAATTTTGTCACTGCTTGTTTTATATTTTTTCCCCATTTTCTTTCTTCAATACCAATGTCCGTAATTCATTGTTCCTTAGAAAATTTAATTATTTTGAGTTTCTTTGTCATTTTGTTTATTCTTGAGGGGTAATACCAATGTCACTAATTCATACTTATTAATAAACATTTTTTTAGGAAATTCCACTATTTTATGCTTACTCTTGCATATTATATAAAAAAGCAATGTTTGTGTATATTGTGTGCAAAATTATATTATATTATTTTTATTTTCACTTTATTTGTTCTTAATGGGTAATAGCAATGCAACTAAGTCATTCCATCTTATAAAAATAGTTTTTTTATTTACATGTGTGTAAGTATAAATGCAAGTACTAAGTACTATATGTGTGACTAATTCATTCCTTCTTATAAAACTTCCTTGTTTGTGAAAATTCCTCTATTATATGCATATTCTTGCATATTTTAGATAACGCAATTTATGTGTAAATTATGGACAAGTTTTTATTATTTTCTAAATATTTTTATTTTCTTTGTTCTTAACAGTAATACCAGTGCTGCTAATTAATTCTTTCTTAGAAAACTTTATCATTTATATTTATTGTTAAGTTTTTTATTTTATTCTTTAATGTGAAACCAACACAAGTGTTAGATTTCTAATTTAACAGTTCAATTTTTGCATACTTCCTTTTTTGCTGTTGTCGGTAGCGGCTTAAAGGTGAAGAATGTTTTCGCGGCGACTTTACTAGAACAATTGATCGGGTCCAAAGTTGTGTGGCTTCTTTAAGACTATACAGTATGACCCGTGTAATTTATGAAAATAATTCTAATATTTTGTTGTTTAGTGTGATGATAACAAAAATGAGTTAGAAATATGTGTCTAAGTACCCTCTTCTCTCTCTTCAAAATGGTAAATACATATGATATGTATATGTGCATATATGTATTGTATATTTGTATGCATATACAAAAAAATAAATATACATGTATGAGAGGTTGCACATAAAGTCACTAACTGTTACATGCAAATATGTTTGACAGTGCAAAAATGCTATTTAGGTCACTTACAAAGGCTTAGCGAACACAATACTATAGCAGCCTGTATTCAACGTACGAAAAAAAAGACTGGCTTGGCACTAGTAGTGGACGTGGGTAGCGAAAAGTGCTTGCAGCTACCGAGCTTCATGGCTCTTAGGATTTGAATTTTTTTAAAAACACACTTCTGGTGCTAAAAAAAAATCTTAAAACAGATACGTGAATACATACACATATTCCTAAGGCCCAGTAAAAATCTGGAAACGAAATACTCTGTATTTTGGGAAATACAAAAAAGAGAAATTTATAACAAAAATGGCATCCTTTTTCTCCTATGTACTGTAGAAATTTGTTTTTTTTCTATAGCCCCTAACAAAACGAGATTTCTACCGAAAGTTGCCACGGGTATTCGGAATGTGTATACGTATCCCTAGAAAAAAAATCATATTTTTTTGAAACTTCAAAAACACAAATTTTAAAATGTTCAAATATAGAGAGCACTGGAGCTCGGGTGCTGCAAACTCTTTCTCACGGGGGCAGCCCTTGGTCCAGTTTGAATCAAAATTTAATGAGAAGTACCGCTGGAGGCGCCATTGCGCTGCAACATGACATGCAAATCGACTATATAAATAAATAAAAACAGTCAACTTACACATAGTCGCTTTCAAACTTCTTTTATAGAGAAAGCCGAGGAAGTTACTAGTCATTACACGTTCGGAATCTACACATACACATACGGTGATTTCCAGTTTAATCCGCGGTCATCTTGTAGTTGTACCACCGTGCGACGAGCAGGTACCCGCCGAAGTTGCCGACGCAGAGCAAGGCGAGCAGCCAGAAGAAGTAGTCCAAGTGCCCGTCGTTGATGTCGTCGGGGATCCACCCGGGCCGGCCGCCGCTCGTGGTGACACACACCACGACGGACACGAGTGCCGAGCTTGCGTAGTTGTCCAGCGCGAAAGCCGCGCGGGCGAGCCCCGAGCAGATGCTCCGCATGGCGTCGGGCGCTTGGTCGTAGAAGAACTCCATCTGCCCGATGAAGGTGAACACCTCAGCCACGCCCAACAGTACATACTGTGGCACCTGCCAGAAGATGGACAATGGCACGTACTCTGCACCGTCCGTGCCGCGGTACGTGCCGTTGCGCGTGACGACGCGGTGCCGTGCGACCTCAAGCATGCCGGCGGCGAGCATGGCGACCGTGAGGATGACGAACCCGACGCCCATGCGCGTCAGCTGCGTGAACCCGCGGCGGTGGCCCGTGAGGCGGCGCGCGAGCGGGACGATGGCACGGTCGTAAAGCGGCACCCAGAGCATTACGCTGAGCGTGTCGAAGACGGTGAGCACCGCAGCGGGGATGCGAAAGCTGCCGATGCGCGGGTCCAGCGTGTCGCCTTGGAGGATGAAGGTGGTGGACACCTGCGTGTACGCGGCCGCAAAGATGATGCCGCACGCCCACACCGGCAGCAGGCGGAGCACACACTTGAGCTCCTCCACCTGCGTAATCGTGCACAGCCGCCACGGGCTCACTGGCTGCCCCTTGTCGCCCGCCGTCTCCACGGCCGCCTTGTCCAAGAACCTGAGCAATCGATGACAATCACAACCCGTGCAATAGATTAATTTGTATTAATTGAGGTACTAATATGAGTCTCTTGAATTCGTTCCAAGAAAATACACGACGCAGCCGTCTTGTCCCCTTTTTAAGACTAGGGCTTCTCTGTCTCCTGTAGGCACCGTCACTGTCTCCTGTAGGCACCGTCACTGGTCCGTCTCATCTCCAGTGACCTTAGGGCCATGGCGGCATGGCTGGATCCCAGCCCTTGCCGTTGGGAGGGCTCCATTTTTAGATGTTCCTTCGAGTTTTGTTTTTTTAGGGTTTGTGTCTTGCTCAGGAAGATGAGACGGTGGTGGCTCCTTGAAGATGGAATAAAATTCTCCCCGTCTAGCCGTCGTCCCGGTGGTGCATCTTGCATCTTCGGTGAGCGTGTGGAGGTGTGTCTGCAGCGGGTCTGTCTTTGGTGGATTTGCTCGGATCTGATGGTAGTTCATCTAGGTTCGTGTGTCTTCAGATTGGATCTTTCCAATGTACGCTACTCTTCAAAGGCGGCGGTTGACGTTCTGGTGTGCTGGTCCTATGGGGCATTAGCACGAAAACTTCCCGACTATGTACTACAATAAGTTTTGCCCAGCGAGGAAGGAATAATGACGGTGGCGTGCCTTCACCTCGCTTCATTGCTTGTAATCGTCGCCAGGTGGTCTACGGATCTAGATGTAATTTTTCTTACTTCTGGTGTTCATTGTATTACTATGATTGAAGATGAAGTTTTGTGAAAAATATAAATAAAATATAAACTAGGCTATCTAACATATTAACAAAGGAAGAACTCAGCTGCAAAACCACATCTTTTTGGCAAGATTACCTAACGCATCGAGAGAAGGCTTGTCCCCATAACCAATTCTCTTGTGTCACGTTTTTTGTCCAAATTAAGGCCTTCTCTGATACTAATGTCACCATATTTATCTCACGGAAGTAAAAATCGTTAATAGGCACAGAGCGTTTTCTTCTTTTCATTTTCCCATGTTTTTTTTTCTATGTTCATTGTTGTTCGTACGACATTTTCTTCTTTTCTTTTATCTCAAACAGTTTTCTATTTTCAACGTTTTTTCACCTTTTTTCCTTACACTGTAGGTGTTTTTTCTACCCTGGAACAAAATAATGTGTGACCATGTGACACACGTGGTAAGCAATTCAAACAATTCAAAAAAAAACAAAATAATGTGTGGATGAAATTTGAACTGTATTTTTTTTATACTTTTCTGTGGTTTTCTCACCTAGGAACCCTGGTAACTTATGTGTACTTTTTAACCCGGATTTTTATACTCCCTCTGTCCGAAAATACTTGTCGGAGGATTGGATGTATCTAGATGCAATTTAGTTCTAGATACACCCATTTACTTCCATTCCTCCGACAAGTATTTTCAGACGGAGGGAGTACTAAAATACACCTTGGTAACTTCTGTGTAACATGTTATTTACGCACCGCATATATGATGTCCTACGCACAAACACATTCATAATTTTGACCCGGGGAAAAACCCGTTGAAACATACCTCCGATAACTTCTGTCTAAAAAGCATGGTAATATACGCACCGCATATCTCATAACTTACGTACAAAACACCACAGTAACTTTGATGGGGAGGGGACATTGTTCAAAACAAACCCATGGTGACTTATGTGTAAATAATATGGTAATATACACACCGTAAACCTGATAACTTATGTACAAACACAATGAGAACTTTGAACTAGGGAAAAAATTATTGAAAACATGCCTCCGGTAAGAGCAACTCCAACGGGCCGACCCAAACGGATGGCGATTTTGTCCGCTTTTTGTCCGTTTGGGTCGGTCAGGCGGACACGAACGTTTGCTTCCGCGTTTGGGTCGGCGAGTGCGCCCAACGCTGGCGCGACCCATTTTGACGGCGCTAGAAAAAAAAAGAAAGCATGCATATTTATTATTTAATATAAGAACAACATTAATTAAATATTAAAGCCAGCCACGAAGGCCGACGGGAGTCCACGCGTCCACATTAGCATTTAAGAAAAATAAAAACAAACTAAACTACGCGCCGGCGCGCTGCCCTAGGCGTCGTCATCGTCGTCATCATGGTCCGTGAGGTTGATGAGGGTCGGCGCCGGCCCGACCCAGGGGAACGTCGTGTTCCAGAGCGCGTTCATATCGGGCACGGGCTGTGCCACCATGGGCTGTGCCGCCGCCTGGGCCGCCGTGGCCTGGCGTGCCTCCTCCTTGGCCTCGGCGTCGCGCTCGAGCATCTCGAGGTACTCGCCGTCGCGGCGCTCCTCGGTCACCCGTATCTGGCGCCAATGCTCGAGGTACGCCGCCTCCTGCGCCGGCGTCGCCCCCAACCAGACCGGCGGCGCGCTGACCCACTCGCGCACTACTCCCGTCCAGGAGTAGCGCTCGATGGGGAACTGCTCTGGCTCCGGCTCCGCTTTCACAGGGGACGACTGGGTCACCGGCGGCAAGACACAGTCGCCCGCCGCGGAGAAGACCATGGCTTGCGCCATGGCCGCCTCGTACACCGCCTCCTCTTCCTCGGTCGCCGCCGCCCTGCGCCGCTCGTCCTCCTCACTCTCCCGGTAGACCGCCGCAAGGGCAGCCTGGTAGGTGGCCTCCATCGCCTGGTCCTCCTCACGGATGACGAGCGGGGGCGGTGGCACTGTGCGGTCGACTTCACGGACGCCGCGTCGCCTCGCCTCCTCGTGCTCGAAGGCGAACCAGCGCGCCCAGTTGGGCGAGTCGGAGGCGTAGGCGGGGTCCTGGCGCTGCTCCGACGTCAGGAGCGCCCGCCGGCGCCGCAGCTCCTCCGTGTGCGCCCTAGTCGACCGCGGGGCCGCCGGCACCGGGATCCTCTCCGTCATGCGATAGGGTGGCGTCCGGGTACGAGAGAGGCACGCGGTGCTGCCAGTGCCACTCCACCTGGTGCACCAGCACGTTGACACGATGCCTCGGTCGGCGAGCTGGCGCTGGCGGAGGCGGGAGAAACTCCGGGGGGAAAGGGATGGCGGGCGACTTTCCCTTCGCCTTGCTGCTGCTACCGACGCCGGAGAAGAGCCCCATTTGGCACGGCTGGGGTGGCTAGGGTTGGCTAGGGTTTGCCGGCGACGGGGGAGCGACTGTGGTTAGATGGGGACAGGGGCTGGATGAGGACGGCCCCGCCGTATGGTCGGCTTAAAAAAGGACGACCGCCGTCGCTGACGCATGGGCCCGGGGTCATAAATTAAGCTGACCAGCGAGATGGCGGGTAGTTAGACGCCTGTCAGGTGGGGTCACGGCGGACACCGAGAAGGCGCGTGGCGTCCGTTTCGCGTCCATGCCGACGCATTTGGGGCGCAAATTTGGGCCGCAAATGCGTTGGCGCGGACGCGAAGCGGACTTGATTTGGGTTTGGGTCGGCGCATTGGGCCTCCTCTTTTGTCCCCGCCACCCAAACAGACGGCGGCGAACGAAATGGGTCACCCCGTTGGAGTTGCTCTAACTTGTCTGTAAATTGCATCATGATTTACACATCTCGGAGATGATAACACATGTACAAACCCCATGGTAACTTTTGACCTCGCTATAAAGTTGTTCGAAAGATACCCTAGTTAAGTACTGTGTAAATAGCATGATAATATATGCATTAGGCCTGATAATTTCCGAACATCGTGGTAACTTTGACCCCCAAGAAAAAATGTTGAAAGTACATCCTCGACAACTTTTTTTTCCGAAACGGAGGCAAATATTTGCCTCATCGATTAATTAAGAAGAAGAGAATTTCCCAGTTAATTTACGGAAAACCGGGCGAAAACCGATATAGACTCCCAAATGTGGACTACTCGCAAAGTAGGAAACACCAAAACCTCTTAAGCGGCCCTCTAAACAAACAACAACCGCAACCCTCAACACTTGAATAACACAATGAAACTCCTAACAAGCACACTGACGAAAACTGACCACCCTCCATCATGAAACCACATACGCCTTTCGGATGGTGCCACACTTCTTGTTTTTCTTCTTCTTTGGTTTCTCCTTACTTGGCATCTTCTTTGCAAGGTCACTTGTCTTGCCAAATGTCGGCTGTTGAGCCACCCATTTGTCAAGAAAATCGTAAAACTCATTGAATTTCTTCGTGTCGTTGTCGTCAACCAAGGGGCTCGTAGGAGCAGGCACCAACCAACCGGCAACATCAACATCATCGACCCGAGGAACCACCGACAGAACATCCTCCACCACAGGAACCAGCGACACAATCGACTTCGACACCTTTAGTTGCTCACATGATAGAGATGAAACATGTTCCTTACACAACGTCGTCGACGAGTCCACCTCCAATCGCTCCAAGGACAAAGGCAAAGCAAGGTTCGAACATATATCCCGAAGCTCGGGCATGAGTTGCAACACCGGAGCCGCAAGCCTAACGATGGACTCGCCCACAGCGGGAGGCAACACAACGGAAGAAGCAGACACCGATGGTGAATTGTCCCGAACACGAGGAGAGAAACAACCATAGGGCTCTGTCCCCCGGTCCTCCGTGGAGTCAACAACTGCCACACCAAGAGGTTGTAGCGTGGCCTGCAACATAGCCGGCACAAGGGAGAGCCTACTCAAAGCAGCCTCTGCCCGCTCCAGGAAGCTCTCAATTCGTGCCAGCCAGCCTTGAAGCAACTCAGTCTGATCAGCAAGGGCGGTCTGGAGCACCATAGAAGATGGGGTTGTCGGGCTAGCAGAAGCAGAAACCACAGATGCCCAAGACCCACGGCGAAGCGCAGTGAAGGGGAGCGTGGATTTCATTTGGCCCTGTAAATAGCATGATAATTTACGCACCTCTGGCGCAGTATCTTTACCTAGCCCGGGCCTAGTAACTTTTGACGCGAAAAAAGTCGTCGGGGCATACCAACATGGGATCTAGTTTCGAAGGTCTCATCGCGACATCTTTTATTTGGTTGAAACGGAATTTGAAAGAACCGATGGTTTGAGGCATCAAACATTTTGAATCTTCAAAATAAGAAGAATCCAGGATGACATCAGTTTTTCCCCTCTAGTGCATGCGTGCATGTGCAGGTGGGGAGAAGGTTGGGATATTCATTTTTATGCTCCAATAATTTCTTTGTAAATAGCATGATAGCTTACGTACAGTAGACATGATAACTTACGTAGCACAGACATGGCAACTTTTGACCCGAAAAAGTAGTCCATAGAATCTAGTTAACTCTCTTAGCGAGGATTTTTTTATGTGAAAATGGATTTGAATTGGATCGATGATTTGAGCTAGAAAACATTTTGGATTTTGGAATATGAAGAATGTAGGATGCCAACATCTTTTCATCCTCTAGTGTATGCATGTATGTATGTAATTAGAGAAAGAAGTGTGGGGGTAAACGAGAGAGACATTCTAATACATGCATACGTGTAATTAGGGGGGATAATTTGATAGTTGCGCTTAATATGCACTACGGAGATAGTATCATACACTAATATTATATGTTAGCAGGCGGGTACGTGCACAACACGTGCATGGTTCAACCGATGGATACAAATCGTATCCCTTCAAACATAGTACCTTTGCATGTATGGCTTCATCGAGTCCATCGTTGCAGCTGTTCTGATTTTTATGTAAAAGGTTCACATGTTTAGAATTAGTATCTTGCACTGTAGCCAGCTTAAAAAAGCTTCACCGAGAGTTTCCAAATCTCGCCGATGAGTACATTAGTGCGCAACGCTGCGGACACTCGCGGTCCGGCTGCCAGTGCGTGTGTCGTGACCAGCTACGTATGTGTGGATAACATCATACATAACTGAAGTTTTCCTATGTTGGCTGATAAGATGGTTCTAGAAATTAGTAGTGTCCTCGTTGGAACTGTAGCCACTACTATAGCTGCGAATCCCACCATTTTGAGCTGTTCGATGGACACTATCAACGGCTCACGTTGCTTTTTGGCTTTGAAATTCATAAGCTTAAAACTCGTACACTATTTAATATTAATAAATATTGTCTTCGTTTCTAAATACAAGTCATTTTAGAGATTCTATTACAAATTACATACGGATGTATATGGATATATTTAAAGTGTAGATTCGCTCATTTTGCTTCGTATGTAGTCTATAGTGGAATCTCTAAAAAAATATTTAAAAAAGAGGAAGTAGTATAGATAAGCATGATTATATTAGTTGTAGATAATTAAAGATGGATAAAACTCCTATTTTAAACTTTTGCGGGTGTGCGGATGCACAGAACTTCACTTGATGGAGACTAGTAGTGGACAGAAAATAGGAACGGTGCAAGTGGAAGCAATGCTAGCGACGGCCGGGCCGCCGGGGCACGGGCACTGAGCCACTGACCTGAACTGGTTGCTGTGCGCGAGGCGGCGGCTCCCCAATATCGCGGACATACCGTCGTCGCCGTCACGCTCGTGCAGCAGCGCGGCGTCGGTTGGGGTCGCCACGTCGCACTTCCTGGCGGCGGCGACCACCACCTGCGCGATCCTGGTGAGCGGGCTACCGCCGGGGGGCTGGTGGCGCCCGTACGCGCCGGTGCCGGCGAGGAACAACGCGACGGCGACCACGCTCAGCAGCGCCGGGATGCCGTAGCCGAGCCGCCAGCCGTGGGCGGACTGCACCCACACCAGCACGGTGCCGCCAACCAGCGACCCCACGGTCAGGGAGAGGTAGAACCAGTTGAAGAAGGAGCTCTGCCGCCCGCGCTCCTCCTCGTCGTCAGACTCCACGTCAAACTGGTCCGCGCCGAACGACGCCATGACGGGCTGCAGCGCGCCACCCAGCCCCACCAGGTACAGCCCCGCGTAGAACACCGCGCTCTCCAGCGCCGCCCACGCGCTCGCCGTCACGACACCGTACCCCTGTTCCATCAAGATCCAGGTCAGGCGAGGTGTTCCCTGGTATGCACGCAGACGCACGTATATGATGCGCATCAGCGCTCGCACGCACGTACCGCAACGGAGACGAGGAAGAAGAGCGTGATGGTCCAGTATCTGCCGAGGAAGGAGTCGGCGAGGAAGGCGGCGGCGAGCGGCGCGATGCCGCTGGTGCCCTGCCAGTTGGTGACGCTGTTGGCGGCGGCCTTGCTGCCGGAGTGCAGCTGGACCTTGAGGTAGTTCACCAGGTTCGTCGACAGGCCAAAGTAGGCCGCAGACTGAAAGCAGTTGTTCACTGCAGGCAGGCACACCGCGCATGCATCAAGCATTCAAGCATGAGTGGCACGGACGTACATGTATGCATGCCAGAGAGGGAACACGAGAACAAAACGAAAAGGTTGCGAGTGTTACCGAGGATGAAAGCGCAGCCCCACGAGTGTTACCGGCGATCCTTCTTGGACGTGGGATCGGCGGGGTCGCCGTGCGTGCCTTTTGATTCTACCCCTACAGCTTCCATGGTCTTAGAGCATTACTAGTAGTACCTTCAAACCCTTAAACCCTAAAAAATAACCGCTTTTTTACGGGTTGAAACGAAAAAAACACAAAGACTAGAACCCTTTAACCCCTAAACCTGTAAACAATTTTAAGGGTTAGAGCCCGGGTCGCTCTCCCAGCCTCTAAAAGTGAGGGTTGGAGAAGGAAAATAATCCCAACCTCTATTTGTCCGTTGCACGCGCGCGGGAGAGAAAAATCAGGTTCGTCGCCCGCCTCCTCCCTTGCCCCACCCGTCGCCCCGCCCCCAATCGCCGCCGGCCACCGCGCGCCATGGAGCCGCCGCCCGCCCCCGTCCTCACGCTCGCCTCCTCTCTTGCCCCGCCCGTCGCCCCGCCCCCAATCGCCGCCTCCGCGACGCCCACGTCGGCCCAGCAGCCGCCTGTCCCAGGCCAGGTGCAGGTCGCGTCGGTGGTGGCCGCCACCCACGTCCTCGGCGTCAAGCAGCGGCGTGCTGGCCAGCACGTCGTCCCTCCGCAGCCCGCTGTCGCCCTGGCCCCCGCCTCCTCCCTCGCCCCGCCGCAGCCGCCCACCACCAAGCGCCGTCGGAAGACGTCGTCGGTTGGGCCGAAGGGTGCTGCGGTGGCCAAGCTTGCCGCGGGAGGGACCCCGGTCGTGAAGAGGACCACCTCCCGGACAAAGACCGCGCCCGCTCCCCCAATCGCCGACCCTCCGCTCGTCGTGCACGAGGTGCTCGACGGAATGCCCGAGGTGCTCGACGCAATATTCCGTTATAAGGGTTGGATTTGAGGGTTCTAGTATTTACCCCTATTTTTCAACCCTTAAAAATGTCAAAAAGTGGCACTTCTTAACCCTTAAAACTGCCTTAAGGATTTGAGGGTTTGAGGGTTCTACTAGTAATGCTCTTAGCAGTCTGGGTGAGATTTACACATGCGCGTGCGGAGCAAATGAAAACCACTCCAGGCAAGGGTCACAATGGCCCATATAAGGCGCCAAGGTAGCACAAATCTGCCATGGTGTTTAACCGAGACATTGTGGTCAGCCGCGTCACGATGCGCAAAGTCCCTTTCTTCTCCACTAAATCAACCGAGCTCCAAAGCAACTTCTCACGCAATTGAGATAGCAAATTTGGTGGAATATATGGGGCCGCCTAGGTGCCAGTCAACTGAAAAAATAATAGTCTTGCTAAGTCTCAGTCCAAGACTTAACGAAGCATGAGTTGATGTTATATCCGTGAGATCTTACATTAAGATTTATGCAAAATTTTCTTATCATGTTTTTTCTTTTTTTCTCTTTTGCATGTTATATCGACTGAGATCAGTCGATTGAGAACTAGCCAACCCAAAAAATAAATTGCCAGGAAAGCAAACGCGCAGAACGACGCTGGAACGACTCGACCATTCCTTCTCGATCACGAGCCTACGTACGCTGGTGACCATTGTGTCATGCGCACAAGCGCCAGTGGTGATTCTACTAGGAGAGCTTCAATAGGGCTTAAGCCTACCCTTCAATTTTTTTTATTTCAGCTAAACACACCGTTTTGAATTACGTTGATACGCTTTACATGCAACAATTGCAATGCATTTGCTAATTAGGCTTAAGAACTTATGTTTTGGGCCTAACCTTCAGTGTATGCTAGATTCGCCACTACATGTGGCAGCTTTAGTATAACTTAGATCGAAAGAAGTACTACTTAATTGCTTCGTGTAAACACATTTTATCCGAAGAGTAAAGCTCTTGCCGGCCAGCCTAGAGTTCGCCGGTTACATTTGCATGTAAGGGGCCATCATGCATTTGTATAAGAGGATCTCCAGCCGTCCCCCTCTCCCCCCAGGAGGCCAGAAAATCGTGCAAAAATCGGCACTGGGGCGATTCCCAGTCGCTGCCCCCAGGTTGCCCCTAGACGTCGATATCGGCATATCTGTTTCACAAAGCGCCCGCTTTTCGGCCCAGTTTCGGCGACAAATCGGCCTGATATCGGCGCAAATCGGTCATTGTTCGCCGTTGTTCGGCATAAATTCAACACAAGTAATTTTTTATCACATAGTTCATTACAAAAAATCAATATAAATTAAATAGTTCAACAACAAATAATTCAATACAAATTAAGTTCAACAAATAAAAACTCTTATTTTATCACACGTCGAGCTAGGCGTTGTCCTTTAGCTTCCATAGGTGCTCCACCAGATCATGCTGCAGTTGTTGATGCACATGTGGGTCTCGGATCTCCTGACGCATATTGAGGAAGGCAGTCCAGGTTGCCGGTAGCTGGTGATCAACTTGCGCAAGAGGACCCTGCCTGTAATATGGTTCAGCGTCAAACACTGGTTCTTTCTGCTCGCTCTCAATGATCATGTTGTGCGAGATGACACAACAAGTCGTGATCTCCCACACTTGATCTTTCGACCAGGTCTGAGCAGGGTATTGGACAACAGGAAATCGAGATTGGAGCACACCAAATGCCCGCTCGACATCCTTCCTGCAAGCCTCCAGAACCTTCGCAAAGTGGGAGTTCTTGCCTCCTGGCACAGGGTTTGAGATAGTCTTCACAAATGTAGACCATCTCAGGTTGATGCCATCATCTAGGTAGTACCCCTTGTTGTAGTATCGTCCATTGACCTCGAAGTTCACCGGAGGAGAATGACCTTCAACAAGCTTGGTAAAGACAGGGGAGCACTGCATGACGTTAATGTCATTGTGATTTCCTGACATCGCGAAGAAAGAGTGCCAAATTCAGAGGTCCTGTGTGGCCACTGCCTCAAGTACCATACTCCAACCGCCTTTGACGCCTTTGTACATCCACTGCCAAGCAGATGGACAGCTCTTCCATTTCCAATGCATGTAGTCGATGCTTCCAAGCATCTTAGGAAATCCTCTTGCCGCATTCTGTGCTAGGATCCGAGCAGTGTCTTCAGCATTGGGTGGTCGCAAGTATTGCGGTCCAAACACTGCCACCACTGCCCTACAGAACTTGTAGAAACACTCAATGGTCGTGGACTCGGCCATGTGCCCATAGTCATCAAGTGAATCACCGGGAGCTCAGTATGCAACCATCCTCATATCTGTCGTGCACTTCTGGATTGAGGTGAATCCAAATGTGCTAGTGCAATCCTTCTTGCACTTGAAGTAGCTGTCGAACTCCCGTATGGAATTCACAATCCTGCGGAAAAGCTTTCGGCTCATCCGATAACGGCGCCGAAATGTTTTCTCGCCGTGCAATGGAGTGTCGGCGAAGTAGTCGGAGTAGAGCATGCAGTAGCCTTCCAGACGATGTCGGTTCTTTTCTTTTAGCCGCCCAGGCGCCGAGCCACCTCACCACAGCTTTTCATTGCTCGCGAGCAGGCTGGCGAGGGCGGCGAGGACCATGAGATGCTCCTCCTCCTGGACGTCGGCTTCGGCTTCCTCCTCCAGCAACGCCGCGAGCGCCTCCTCGTCATCCGAGTCCATCGCGGGGTCGGGCAGACAAATCGCCGAACACCTGGCGGGTGTCGTAGGCGCGCAGCCGCCGGCATGCCAACCTGCACGGCCGGGGCACCAAACAACTCGCCCGGAAGGTGGTGAAGAGGTTGCCGCGGCGAAACCTTCTCTCCTTTCCGGCGGGGAATG